AGGGAGGCCCTGAGAGCTGGGTGGCTCTGCCGGTGAAAGATTAACAGGGATTTAGACTCATTGACGAAGAATTAAGGTCCTGGTGGCTCCTGATTCCAGCCTCACAGTCCCAGAGCCTCTGAATCCACCCACTCACACACCTCCCTTAGACAGACGGGGCGCTGAGGCCCGAGGAGGGGCAGAGGCGTCCTCGAGGCCACCCAGGACCCGCCTCGCCTCCCCGGCCCGAAAGTCCTATGGCCGCCTCCTATCCAGTCCCCCCGAAAGGCAGGGTGCGGTGGGGTCAGACCTGGCACGGTGGCCACAGACGGAGGGTGGGGATGGGCAGCCTCCTTCCTCATTGATAGACCGGCCTGCTGGTGGGCTGCTCCCTGACCTTGGCCGAGATCTGTCACCCAGGCCCTCGGGACTGGCCAAAGAGGGAACTGGTCGGCACCAGGCTCAAGCCGATGTCCAGGCCCTGTCCAGAGCCTGTGCGTGCTCCTTGGCCAGAAACCGAATGGCCGCCTCCTCCAGAGTGAAGTCTTCCATGAACACCGGACCAAAGGCGTGAGGCCCGAAGGCTGCCTGCAGCCCTGGGGCTGGGCCCAGGAGGCGAGTGAGGCCCGGCCTGGTAGGGGGCCCGGGGCCCAGCCAGGGCTCCAGAGGCAGTGGAATGGTCGGAGGGTGGGCAAAGGGCAGTGCTGGGGCCTCAGGGAGCCTCGAGGCTGCCACAGCCCCAGAGCCGGACTCCAGACGCTCCTGGTGCCGCCACTTGGCCCGACGGTTCTGGAACCACACCTGGAAGCAGCAAGAGGGTGCCTCCAGCCCAGAGCAGCGGGGAGGGCCCGTCGGCTCTTCCCCGCTCCGAGGCGTCCCTCCCGGCCTCCGAGCCTCTCCGGTTCTGCCTGCTGTCGGGCCTGACGCCCTCCCTGCTGCAGGGCCATGTTTTTATTCTGCTTCAGGGCTGTCCGGAGAGAAGAGGCCCTGCCTCACGGCCCCATCACATCACCTAAGTCCTTTCTGAACCTCATTCCTCCTCCCCGTTCTCTTTAATCAGGCCCCTCCGGTCTTCCCTGGCCTTCGATCAGGAAGTGCCAGCGTGGCTCACACGC